TACGATTGTCCTTGTATTGTGACTCAGATTTTGCTGGTTACATAGACACTTCCCGCTCTACGAGCGGTTATGTCCTGGCAGTTGAAGGCCCTTCCAGCTTTGCCTTGTTGTCGTGGTCAAGCAAGCGCCAGAAAGTTGTGTCACGGTCCAGTACCGAGGCCGAGTTTGTCTCGCTGAGCGGGGCTCTCTTTTCTGATGCTGTTCCGATGCTGGAAGTGTGGGAAGCTTTGATCCCAAACATCCAGCTCCACGTCTACGAGGATAATCAGGCGTGCATCGCCATAGTCCGCAAAGGATTTTCGGCCAAGCTTAGGCATCTGGCCAAGACCCACCGTGTTAACGTAGCCGCTACCTGCGAACTCGTTAACCTTAACCCCAACATCTTGCTTTCCTATATCAACACGGACAGCCAGAGAGGGGATCCTCTCACAAAGATCCTCCCCCTGCAAAAATGGGCACGGGCTCTCGAACTCCTTTCGATTGCCACCGTTCGCCTTCCGGACGTAGACTGAGTAAATCAAGATTTCGGATGTTGTAGTCTGCTGAGCTGTACTGCGACCTGCACTTCATCAAACGTTGTGTATTTGAGTGAGTCGAGAAGCTGAGCTTCCATTCACATAGGTTTTTGCTGAGCATCGCGCATGAAGATGTCGTGACGACTTCTTTGTCAGTGTGTTTCTCTCTCTGTTAGGCTGCTCATGCGCCACGAGAGAAGCATCACACGGGGAATCGACGGTAGGTCAGAGCCATTGCTTCCTCGAGTTCAAATTAATCTGGAGACTGATCACCTCCATCATGCATTGTATAGTCTATCAAGCTTCTACAAGTCAGAAGGGGGGAGTTGAAGAATCTCGATGATCCTCCATGTAAAGATATCTGATTATGTAGAACGATGCCAACGACCTTCGACGTTTGGCTCAAGCATGAAAAAGCACGTACCTGAGGTTTGTGCTGCGTTCAGGGTTGGGGCTCCCTTGTTGGTTTCCGTTCCCTTCTCCTTCGTTCCTTACCCTAACTTAGCTGTGTTTTCGTTTGGGGTCGGAATAACTTGTGTGCGTCAACTCTCCCGGTTGCAAGGTCGGTTGCAACTTTTTTCTTTTCTTGAAGGTCTTAGATGTAGCTTTCGTCTCTTAGATCTAATTTTTCCCTTTCTGATTGACCCCACCTACCCCACGTACCCCACCAGTCCACCTGCACCGCCTATCCCCACTACCCCGCCTGCTACTGCCGTCCGCGTCGCAGTAGCATGATAGGGTGCGGCTTTATCTTGCAGGGCTTGAGTCCTTTGCACCTGAAGCTGAAGTCCTGGCGCCCCAGCGGAGTGAATCCAGCAGGAACCTTTGACCGAATGCGAACACCCTAAAGAATGAATCCCGCAGGAACCTTTTTCCGAAGACGAGAACCCTAAGGAGTGAATCCAGCAGGAACCTTTGATGGAAGAGGAAAACCTTAGGGAGTGAATCCAGCAGGAACTTTTGAACAAAGACGAAAACCATACTCAAGACGAAACCCCGTCAGGAGTGAGTTCCCAAGCCGAAAACCCAAAGGAGTGAATACTCAAAACGAAAACCCTTAAGGAGTACTGAATGAATAATTACTCAAGACGAAAAACCCTTCACTTAAGGAGTGAGTTCCCAAGCCGAAAACCCTTAAGGAGTGAATACTCAAGACGAAAACCCTTAAGGAGTGAGTTCCCCAGCCGAAAACCCTAAGCAGTGAATCCAGCAGGCACCTTTGACAGAAGAGGAAAACCAACGATTGAATCGAGCAGGAAACTTTAACCAAAGACGAAAGTCAAAATCCTAAGGAGTGAATCGGGGAAAACCCTTCCGAGTGAATCCAGCAAGAACCTTTAACCCAAGACGACAGCCGTAAGAACTAAGGAGTGAATTCCCAAGGCGAAAACCTTAAATAGTGAAAAAGTTGAAAAGTTACATCCAAGAGAAAACTTGCAACAAAGATGCTTGTTTTGCAACCCTGTGCAGGGATTTGCTATATTCGGAGCCAAGAAAAGTTACAATCAAGTCACTTTACTGAAAAAGGCTGAGAAGTTACATCTAAAAAAGGAAGTTCCAACTAAGTGTTCTACCAACTCTTCCCCCCAATGCCCTGTTTCTGAGCTCTCCGTGGGAAGACCTTTTGTTCCTGCGAAGTGCCAGTGTCTATTTGTCTATTTCCAACCGAAGCCGTACGGCTTGGCGGGGTTAAGGAGGTTCTGGCGGCACATCCCTGCCTCAATACCCACGCAGAGGTTTGTCCTTTGTCTCCAAAATCGCAGCAAGCAGATCTCTGCCTTCGTCTCTAAATTCGAAGCAAGCAGATCTCCCTGTCCCTAACTTCGAAGCAAGCAGATGTCCGTCCATGTCTCTCACGAACCATCCGGTAGCCGTTCATTGTTGAGTTTTCGGCGACGGGTTTTTAAATTGCGTGTAGGTTATGATTGAGTTTCCGGGGACGGGTTTTCTAATTGCTTCAATTGCATTTAGGTTGTAGTTGACAGCTCAACATTGCGTTTCGTCAGTATACCTCTGCCAATCTGCAAGACGCTGACGACAGAAGTTGTCAAGGCCTTTCAGGGCCATTGATAGCTCTGCAAGCCTTCCAGAACTTCCTTGTCACGAGGGGCATTCTCGAATGTTTCCCTCTGGCAGCTTTTGTTTCCGTGTGCCACCGTGTTCACTACTGTGAACTCGCTTCGCAGTCCGATAGGGGTCTGAGTCCAAGGCTGCGACCACGCATTTTGCCTCAGCTGCATTCGCAACTGGCGACGCGAGCGGGAACAGCAGGTGCGGGGGCTTGAACTTGAAGGCAGTAGCAGTCTTTGGTGCTGCATACCCGTAGCTCGTCGACATGAGAATGCCGAGCACAGGATAAGCAGAACCTGCGGCTCTGTCCGGTTTGCCGCAATGTTTCTTGGCATAGTCCGAGAGATTTTGCATCAGTCCCTGAATCGGACAGATTTGTACCAGTATTTGAGGAATCCTTCTACGTGATTCCCACGGACCACATCATCCTGGATCCCGAGGAAAAACGCCAGCTGCTTATGTCAGTTTCAGGCTTCGGGCACCATAAGGCTTTGGTCGAAGAGCTCCAGTTCTTTGCAAACGCACCTAGGAGAGGTCATCGACTCCTACAAGCAGGCGAAGCGGTCCTTTTACGTATTTGTGTTCTGTCTCTGGATGGCTATGGCTGCTTGGGCGCAGGAGATGGGCCGCATACCGTGCAAACTCTTTGACTACGGCCGAGGAGCGAAGAGAATCGAAGAGAGCCGGATGGAAGTGCCCCACGGTCCTGCTTGTGGGAAGGCCACTGTCCATTTGGCACCAGCTGTTTCTATGCCCACCTCAATCCGGACGGCCACGGGGCTCAGCCTCGACAGCCTCGAGCCTCTCGGATCGCCGTGGCCTGCACTCTTGGCTCAGGCACGCGGTACATCCCGCCACCGCTCAAGTGGATGCGAGGAGCCGAAGGCCGTTGATGTCCAAAAGAGCCAAGTGCAGCAAGACCATTGTCGTGAACGCTCCCGGGAAGGTAGCCAGGTGAAGTCGGAAGTGAAGATCTCCGACTTCTTTGACTAAGGCATTTTGGGGCCTGGACCTTAGGGGCCGATGTCGGACTTTCGGCTTCAAACCTCTTCGCGCGCTCAAGGTGACAAACAAACTCTCATAGTGCATCTATGTGCTTCTTCGAGACTCGCACCGTCAGTGCCATGAATTAAGCTTTCTTGTCGTTCACGCTGAGCGCTTTCCGAATGCCTCGTATTCAATCCACCAGGACCCAGGGACCCAGCTGCAGACTTTTTGCCAGCACGTAAACAAGAAAGCCACCGCGGCCCTTGCTTTCAGGCAGGTGTTTGCTCACGTGTGTGTGCGGGTGTGTGTGTGTGTGTGTGTGTGTGCGCGGGTGTGTGTGTGTGTGTGTGTGTGTGTGTGTGTGTGTGTGTGTGTGTGTGTGTGTGTGTGTGTGTGTGTGTGTGTGTGTGTGTGTGTGTGTGTGCGTGCGTGCGTGCGTGCGTGCGTGCGTGCGTGCGTGCGTGCGTGCGTGCGTGCGTGCGTGCGTGCGTGCATGCGTGGGTGGGTGTGTGTGTGTGTGCGCGCGTGTGTGTGTGTGTGAGTGTGTGAGTGTGAGTGAGTGTAATCAAACGTGGGTTGGTTTTGCATGTGAAAAACGAAAGGGTGCTTATGTTCAACGTGACAGACGCACGAAAACCCAAATCGTGGTGCAAGTGATTATACAGCCCTAGCAGGTCCACGCTATGAGTTTTCTGCGGGTCCGTCGTTCGGACTCTTTATCTCGCCAGTACCACTGGGGAAAGATGTTGAGGCTGATCCTGGTGGTCCCAGATGTCGTAGTGTTCGTGGTCGTCTTGGTTTTCGTGGTCGTTCTGGTATCTTTGCGGAATGCCTGGTAAGTGCTCTGTGACTGGTTGGGGATCTACACTGGCGTCTTAATGCAAAAGCCTCCCAAAAACGGTGCCAAGCACTTCCAAGGACCATCGCGGCCGCCTCCACGCCTTTCTGCGGCTCCGGCGACCAATGCCAGCCTTCTGCACTTGCCAAACCCGGCTGGGCTAGGGGACAACTGGCCGCCATCAGCGTCGCAAGACCAAACAAAAGCAAGCATCCGAGAGCTGCAATGCACAGCCACCCCAAGTTCTGATGACTTTTGATTCTGTGCCTTTGCCTTGGTAGCCGTTTCTAGAGGTGCACGTGCCGCATGGGTGCAGTCCCGAATCAATCATACGGTCGCCTTCAACTTGGGTGTTGAAAAGCCGTGTGGGCAGGTGTGTAAAACCAGGGAATCCCTGACTGCTATAGGTTCCAGTTATCAGGGGGCTTTGTAATTGGAATAATGCTGAGCGATTAACTGTGCTGGTGAAGGAGAGGCTCCGGCTCCAACAGACTGCCTCCGCCAAAAAGCCCAAGAATACATGACAACAGCACAGCAATCACTTCCATCCTCTGCCATCCAGCAGAACAACAGAAGTTCTTGCCATTCCCATGCTGTTGGGGCGTGCGCAATGGGCCAGACGGCCATGCATTCGATGCTACGTCAACACCAAGGTGCAAGAGTCAGATGGCCTTTTGTAGCCCCCGCAGCCTTAGCCCTCTTAGCCTGCAATTGGCTTCCCCAGCCGCTCCGAGCCCAGATGACTCAACGGCGCCGAGACTTCGAGGAGAAGGCCACTGAATTCGAGTTTAAATACGGCAGAACCACATTGTTTCTTCTGCCGCTGCCTACTGCTGCTATGACAACAGCCAAAAACATGTGGAAGGGCCTACAACAATGGTAAGGGATGGCAACCAGAATGAGAAAGACCGTACCAGTACCAGTGCCTGGATTCCAGGCAGCGCTGTCTAGGACCGTCTCGTCCTCAATGCTTGCTTCCTCAAGCTTCTGTTACCGTTGTATTTCCCGAAGCTTTCGGAACCGTCAGATATCTCGAGACTGTTGCTTGCAGCTGACGCGACAACCGACTTGAGTTGTTTCATAGATTGTGAATCTCAAGTGTTGTGGCTAGACACCCAAACAAATATTGCGTTTTTGTCCATTGTCGTTCTTCTACCACCAGTAAAGCAAGTTTACGCCTGAAGCCTCAGCTGACTCTTGGTCCATTGTTTCAGGCATATCCTCGAGCAACGACTTTGGAGCCGAATAGGCTCCCAAGAAGGGGTCGAAGGGGCGGCTGGATGCAAAGTCCGCAGAGGCGCAAGAAGGGCCTTCTCGGTACGGGATGATTTTGGTGCTTAAAAGGCGCTCTTTGGAGGTCTGCTGTTCAGCGATGGTGCATGATAACATATGACGGACTGCCAGCATTCACGCCACACCGGATTCTTTAGTGGGAAGAGAATGAAACTGATGCTTCTTAAGGTTCGCAGTCCTTGTCGACATCTTGTGTATGATCCACTCCGGAGAATACTCGAAGGCGATGATCCCCCATACCGTCCACGCTGTTTCACTGCGAACCCGCTGCACCGACCACAATCACTGCCGCCAACCACTTGCTTCCTTTGAGGGTACATCGGGACACTAATAGAAGAACTTAAGAGCCCTGCACGTCTTTTTTGGCTCTCTGGGTCTTTGCCGTGTTCGGAGTCGGTAAGACGAGACCCCTCCGAAAGTTCTTGTTGCAGAACTGCCGTCTGCAGGGGTGTCGCCAAGCTGGATGGCACCAACTCGGCACAGCGTGCCTGGTGGGCCGAACGGGCGGCTTCCATTGATGAGAGCTTCGTAACGAAGGTGCAGGAGGCCCAGACGTCGACAGACTTAGACTTGCAGGGACTCCTTGATCAGCACCTCTCCGAGATGGACGCGCTGAAAGTAGCAATGCCACGGGCGGATGATTTTCGGCTCCCCCACATCAAGGAGCTTGCCAAGACTCCCAAGCCAAACCCCGTGCACGAGGCGACAGTAGCATCGCTGCCCTTGCAGGCCCCCCCCGAAGCGGCTTTGCCATCCTTTCTTCCCGAGTCCTTGGAGAGAAGACAGAGACGGAGGCGGGGCCGTTTTCTTGGGAGCAGCACCTTCAAGCCTGGAAGCCCAAGCAGCCCGAGCGCAGAGAGCGCAGAGGAGGCGCGCTCCTCACGGGCCGCTCTCAGGGGCGGCTTTTCCGAAGATTCCGAGTCGGAAACGGAGTCCGAGGCAGAGGCCCAGGCGCAGGCAGAGGCCCAGCGGAGCGGTCAGCGGCTTGGGCGGCTCTCTGCAAGGAAAGCCACCAAAGCCAGAGGCGGAGCCCAGCAGCCGTCGCCACAGCTCCCTGAAGAGCCCAGGGAGCCTATGGAGCCCGTGCGTGACTGCGAGCTTGGGAACCTTTGGAGTCAGTTCGGAGCCTCCTGGGTACAATACAACCAGTGTGTCGTTCCCAGCGTTTTTCCACAAGATCGACAGCAAGCGGCCACCGGGGCCACGCTCGAAGCGTATCACCAAACACGGCAGTCAGCATCCCTCTTCGACGTCTCTTACAAAGTCTGCCTGCAGATCATGGGAACGGACCGGGAGTTCGTCGCGGATCAGTTTCTAACCTGCAGCCTCCGAGCGATGCGAGTCGGTGACGTGCAATATGCATGTATCCTGGACAGCAAAGGCCTAGTCCTGGATGACGCCTTCATCTTTCTTCACGAGGCTTCTGTAAACATCTTAGCTTCTGGCTGGCATTCCAAGCAGCTGCTGGAGTATCTTGGCCAGACGCTCCTCTGCACTGTGGGCTCTTAGTAGGCTGCCAGCGTGTGGGAAAAGCATTGTGTATTTTTCTTTCGAAAGCAAACGCAAGCCTTCATTGCTCATGAGGTATCTGATCTATGTGCGGCGCTCTGGTGCCGACGTTTCTTTCGTGAGCCACAGTGGCGCCGTCCTCGCTCTTCAGGGCCCGAAAGCTCAGGAGGACAGTGCAGACGGCACAAGAGAAATCTACTCACGGAGTGATCCTCAGAGTCACTCTAGAAAAGATGCCAACACGGCCTCCTTTAAGCCTTCAGAAAGGGCTACCATGGGGCCTGCGTTTGGGACACATCACGTTTCGCGGTTTCGCAGCGATTTGTTTCACATCATCTTGCTATCCTATGCTTGTATAAACAGTTCTGGGTTATTTACTGTATTGTTCGTACTTGTAGACATTTATGTCGCTTATCAATAATGTTGTTGTTTATAAGCAGGGCCTGTGTTTATAAACAGTGTCTGTGTTTATAAGCATGGCTTGTGTTTATAACCAGGGCTGGCGTTTACAAACTAAGATGAAAGAGGGGGGGGGGGAGGGGGGGGGGGGGGGGGGGAGGGGGGGGGGGGCTGAGGGTTTGGGGCTGACATGTTGAGACCTGCCCCCCCCCCCCCCCCCCTCCCCTCTCTCTACTGCGTCCCGTCCCCACCCCCAACCCCAATCCCACTCACCATGCACCACACACCAAAAACCAAGCGCGCGCTGGCACCATTTCCACAAACTTTACCACTTTGTCTATCCTCCTTGGAAGAACACGTCGAGTTGCTGTATTTCTCGCATACAACACAACTTCGTTCGCCGATGTTGTGAAAACGCTGGTAATTACAATGTCTTTTTGCGTCTGAAGTGTATGAGTTTATGCTTTGTGAACAAGTTGTATAGCATCACCCTTCCCTGTCTATGAACAAATGGTTTGTTCAGGGCACGTGAGCTGCTTACAGAAGTGCTGTATCTTCTTACGGTTCACAGGGTCTCGGCTGTACACAGACCGTCGCGATGTACACATCAAGGACAGTCGTAAGGATGGAAGGCGGTTTAGGGTTTAGGGACCAGAAAGAACCCTCAAAGCCTTATTTTGACATTCCATCATAGTTTCACTCTTCAATAGAAGCTAAATTCTGGCAATATCCGACATTGCTACTGCCAGCACTACAGCAGTTTTTTTGGGCAATTGCGTTCTTTACTTCGAGATCAGCTTATGTGACTTATGTGACACTGATGTATTGTATGTATGTCATAATGCAAGGCTTCCGAGCCTTTGCTTCCTGGATATGACGATATACACTGTGTGTGCTGTTGTGTTTCGCTGATTTCCGCTATTCGCTTGCCTTGTGCTGTTGATTTCGACGAACCTGGTGATACATCCATATTTTGAAAAATTGTGGATCTCGACAAAAATTCGCATCTTCGACTGGGAAAACCATGATGCAGAGTGTATGCGAGTTGAGGACCGTGTTAATGTGAAAGTGGTGGGGTGGCAACTGGGAAAACAACTGTTCAAGGGTCATCGCAACCTAAATCACATGAACCGAACAGAAAGCTATGTATTGCTGTGAAACTGGAAGGCCCTAGGCTCCAAATACGTAGCACTGCATTACAATAGAAACTAAATCTAAAACACACTACTCACTGATTTGTGTACATACAGGCAGTGTGCACCCCTGACACAATGTGTGTTGTAGCACTGCATAAAACATACTATGTATGTACATGCTCCCAGTTTGCAGCAGTAAATTCCTGCGATTGTCAGCATTGTTGTAAACTGTTGTGAAGCCCCGCATAGGTAGGTAATTTTAACGCTACGCCGCCCGCCTCGGCTCTGTAGTGGCAGGGCGAGGGTCCCGGCTTATTGTATAGCCTCTGGGCAGAGTCGAGCAAGAATAGAAGGCACCTGTGAAATGCTTGAGTCAGAGCTTGGTGCGAAAGTTGCGGGTTAAGGCCTTCCAGCCATGCCGCCCGGAGCAAGAAAAAACAACACAGACAGAGCCTGAAAAGAAAGACAGGCAATGGAGGGGGGGAGAAGAAGTGGGAGCACGAAAAAAGGGGGGGAGGGGGCGGGAAAGGGGGAGGGGGGGGGGGGGGGGGGGGGGGGGAGGGGAGGGGAGGGGAGGGGGGGGGGGGGGGGGGGGGGGAGGGGGGGGGAGGGGGGGGGAGGGGGGGGGGAGGGGGGGGGGGAGGGAGGGAAGGGAAAAACGGCGGGGTAGAGGAAAAAAAGAGGGGGGAGGAGGCCTGGGAGGGGGCGGGTAGGCCCGCAAATCAAAGAAAATGAGGGGAGGCCGGGCAAGGGGGTGGCAAACGAGCGCAAAAACAGGGTGTCCCCAAACATTCGGACTGCAGGGAGGAGGATTAGGTGGAGGGTACCTGAGGTAACCACCAAAACGCCTGGGCCTGTGGCCTCGGCGGATACTGCAATCTTCAAACTGGGAAGAAAGTGGAAACTCACGGACATGTGCCAACTCAACACACAAGGAAATCAGAACACGGCGGGCGACACGGCTCCAAAGATTTTCGAGAGTCCAAGTTGTGGAAACAGATGCACGGTGCGTGAAAAACTTTGTCTTCTTTCGTTTCGCTCGGACGTGGCCGGGTGTCCACTGCGTACAGGGTGCCATAATTAGCGATTATTATTCGTACCATGACCATGCAAGCACATAAACAGTGCATGTGCTCATGTAAGTTTAGCTGTGGAATATATACATGTGCACGTGTATTCGAGTGTATGCATTTTATATGAACATAGGCCCTCATGGTCTTTTACAAGCAATTGCAACCACACACACATGTATAAATACATATATATATACACATACGTACGTACATACATGCACATGCATAGGTGCTTCGTATAATGCTAAAACGCCAAAGACGCCCAAAAACATAAAATGCAAAACCCAGGCCCCATGACAGCCCGCTCTCTAAGCCTTTGAGGTGGAGTTCTGTGTGCTTCAGAGTCCATGACGCCTAAGTGTAGCTGCTGACCTGATTACTGTACCACTTGGAGACCTGCACGCATAGGTATGTTGCATACTGCTGTTCATGGCTTTTCTGTCCCTGCTTGCCGGTCATTTGCATGGTCGCTTGTGTACATTCATACATTCAGAGGAAGAACGGGGAAGGGGACCGAGAGAGCAAGCGAGCAGGATGGATAGACAGATAAGCAGACTCATGATGTGTGTGTGTAATTGTATATATGTATATTCCCATGTGTGAATATGTGTATATGTGTGTATGCAGAAGTCTGGCAATCGGAAGTGATTGAGATTGCTTCTGGAGACTTAGAAGAGCACATCATGTTTATATATGTATACAAATGTATGTATATATATATATATGTACGTGTGTATATATGTACATATGTACGTATATTTATTTATGGGTGTGTACAGCTACGATTATATGATACTAACTTATCTTTGTTATATCACGTTGGCCTATTTCCATGGCATTAGAATATACGTTAGTTAATTTCGTATGGTAAGGCACGGTATAGCATATTATAGTCTAGGACTGGATAATGCCGTCGAGAGTAAGTACGAACTGTACCATACGGTATTATGGTCTATGGCGTTACGATCTATTATATTGTATCATACTACACCAGATGATAAGATATGCTGTTGCATTGTGTTGCATTATGTTATTTCCATATCCTGGTTGAAACATAATCTGGCAGATTTCAGACGAAGGATGAATATGCAATATTATGTATACGGCCAGCCCCCCACCCCCCCACCCCCGCATGATCTACCACAGTGTCTTTTCCCCGTAAGCAGAGCCTCAGCAAACATTGCAAGTGCAGAGAGTTGCTCTTTCTCTGTATACACCTGTATGTATGTGTATATGCATGTGTGCTTGTGGTTGTACGTGTAGTTATATGTACAATCACATATACATTCATACTTATAGTTACGCATGTTTCAATCCGTCATCATCATCATCATCATCACCACCAATATCATCATCGTAGCGATGGTGTTGGCTGCGGCTGCTGCTGCTGCTGCTGCTGTCGTCGTCGTCGTTGTCGTCACTGTTCTTGGTGTGTTGTTGCTAGTTTGCTTGCTATTGTTGCCACCATAGTACATAACATTTGTTATTACTCATGCCACTAAGACTTGCTGCTGATATTATCGTCGTAGTGCTACTGCTGCTACTGCTGCTGCTGCTCTGCCGCTGCTGTTGCTGCCGTTGCTGCTGCGACGACGCTACTACCACTACATCTATGTCTACGTATGCATCATCATCAGCGTCGTCATCATCACGATCTTTTCTGTTCACCATGTTTCTTGCTATGATTAAGACTTGCATCAGCACACTCCCAGTACATGAACATACTGTACGTATATAGACGTGTATCTGAATGGCTGTGTTGCTTTGGGAAGAAGGCGTTGACGTTGATGCTCGCGCTCTCCGATGGCTTGGAGCTCTCAACGTTCAGCGAGCAGGCGACCGGAACAACCGAAGACCCCAAGCAAACAAGACCTTGCATCCTCCCCAGCGCTTGCACTCTGCCGGCTGTTTCGTTGTGCTGTTTTGCAAGGTCGCCTTGGCACCGGAAGTCTTGGAGGCCATGCCCTACATGAGTGCCCTCTCTTTGCACAAGTCGGAGGTCAAGGCCACGGTGCTGCGGGTCGGTACAACCGGAGAGGACGGCTTCGAGATCTTGGGACCCTCCCCCTTGCTACACGAAGTGGCCACGGCGCTGCTGCAGACCCCACTGGTCAGACCGGCCGGAGTCTACTGCCTGGACATCCTTCGCATGGAGGCCGGTGAAGGACTGGAAAAGAGATTTTGTGACGCGACTGTTTACACAAACTTACACGCAATTGTTTATAAATGGTTTACAATGCATACACATAGGACCTAGAATACTATTCTTCAAAGTGTATGCTCAACAGAGCAAAGCGACCAAGCCGCTTTGAGTCCCACGAGCCACGAGGCCGGGCTCCCACGCATCGGCACGGACGTCGCGTCTGGACTCCACACGCCCGTGCGCGCCGCACTGTCCTGGACCCTGGACCAAGGGAAGATGCGGAGCCACCTGATGTGGCGGGCTCGGGCTCGGCGCGACTTGGGATCCGATTCCAACATTCCCGGCTCAGCGCTTGTTTATGGCAGAGGTTCGGCTGGCAGAAGCTCTTCTTCCAGCTGGCGAAGGCCACGGGCCGCATTTACGGATACCGGCATTGCCATCATCTTCGTCGCTTTGCACAAGAAGTGTTGCTGTGCTGCTTGGAGCTTTGCATGCTTCGCTGTCAGGGTCCAAAGTTTCGGCGGGTGGGCCTGCTGCTGGACGGACCGGGGCACAGTGGCTGCCGACTGCTCTCCAACCCCCACCGGCAGCCAATAGGTGGGGTCCGAAGATGAAGGTGACGGCCATGATGATGATGATGATGATGATGATGATGATCGTGCTGGTGATGGTGCAGGCCAGGATGGACCGAGGATGATGGTTGGGCCGCAGGCGTGGTCACCTCGACGGCTTGGAGCCCCCATCTTCGGTGTCGGGTAGCGCAGGCGCACGGTTGGAATGGAACAGGACCTTGCGATCCCGAGTGCTGTCATGCTGTGCGTGTGAGGCCTACATACGACCGGAGTATGCAAAGGCCAACAAGCATGTGCTGCTCACGGTGCCCTACAACCTGCCAGTGAAAAAGATGCGGAGGTCCGTTGCTCTTGGTTTCGGATGCCGGAAAGCGAGGAATGTGCAGAATGCTTTGCGACAGGAAGGCCATCAAGCACTGGCTTCGTGCGGGCGACCTGCGCTGTGGCTATCGGAGACTGGTGGCCGCCTGTGTTGTGCCCTTGCCCTTCGTGGCTTGCCGGGCAAATTAGAGGCAGAGGCAGAGGCTGCGTGGCGCTCTGCGTGGCTGCAACAAAAACTTGTCGAATCGCGAGGTCCCGCACCGCTACCCGGAGCCAGCACGGCAGCGCAAGGCCGAATCCCGGCTTCGGAGCCGCACCGCGGAGGCCCTTTGTCTCTCCATTCCCCCGATTCGCCCTATAGGCCTAGTCTGCTTTTGACGTGGTCCGAGCTGGAGGAGACCCTCCGAGGGCCCCGGGCCCAGGCGGCGGTGGGAGAATCGAGGGCGACTCCTCGAAGACAGAGTTCCTCCACCGGCCCCGCCGGCCCGCCTTTCGCACGGGCTACTTGCGTCTCGAAACTGCCACAGCCAGGCGAGAAGCTGCGTGAAGGCTACGAGCATGCCAGTAAGGAGAGGCAGAGTGACGTCTCTGGCGTGTGACAAAACTTTCTGCCAGGGCCCACGATTGGCTGTGTTGTGAAGAAAACACAACATTCTCTGCTCGACCCGCTGCCGCTATTTCTTTCAGGGTCCTGCAAGGACTCCCAATGGGCCAAAGGCTTCAGGGTAGATGGCGCAGGGGAGCCATACCTCCGCGCGCAGAGGACCCGTAGCCAGCCGTCACCTTTCGTGTTTGGGTGCCGTGCCGCGCTCAGGACGTTCCGATCCAGGCCAACGCCAGCCGCCGGTTCCAGCATGTCCACCAAGCCCGTGCCAGTCTCAGACAGCGGTGGCCACTGCGGTGGCATTCTGAAGCGCATGACTCATGACTGTCTGACTCGCCATGATCGCACACACAGTCCGCGTCGTTCCAAAGGTCGCCAAAGGCGACGCGATTGAGCTCAACTTGGAGTCCCCAACCCAGACGGGGGCAGCAGCTCGTCTCTGTTGCGCAGAGAGCTTGCCTTCAGGACGATGACGGTGGAGCAAGGGCTGGAGTTGATTGAGAAGGTCCCCTGCCACAATTTCTTCAGTGGTAGTCGTGGCGTTGACCGTGAGGAGCGGGTGCAGCCCTTGCTGACCTACTTAAGGCCATCGTGAATGCCCGCAGTGTAGCACGCGATTTGTCTGCTTGCCTCTCTGTCCACCTATATCCATCTCTCAAACGAAGGACCGGCACCTTCGAGAACAAGACAAACATGACATTTATGAAGGCTGCAGCCACTGTCGGTCTGGTTCGCATGTAGAGCAGCAAGCCTTGCAGCTTCCTGATTTCAAGCTGTTTTGGCCGTGCAGAGCTGTGAGCAGTGGGAAGTAGCCACTAGGTAGGAGCTGCTACTGGACTGCCGTCTCTCTTTCATAGATGTCGCAGACAGCGAAGGTGCTGGGAGTATCTCCGTTCGCAGGGCGTTGACAACCCCTCCGGGGCCTCCCGGTCGCCTGGAATGTCTGAAGAAGTCGGCAGAACCCGCTGCCGAAATTGCTTGAAGAAGGGCCTGTGACCAGCGTGCCATGATGATCTGCTTGCGGCGGCCGCCGACCGTAGTGGTTCCGTGAAGGCCAGCAGAGGCTGTGGGATCGTGAGCTCTGCGGCCGATGTGAAGTCTGAAGGGCATCAGAAGGCAAAGGCGGCAAAGCGCAGCCGAGAGAACGTCTTTGCGGAACTCTCGCTGCTTGCAGAGCTCCGTCTCAGGCTGACTCCACATGGTGAGCGGTGTCACGTCGTATGACGGTGGCGTGGCGGTGGAACCAACTCAATGCTGCAGCGTCTGGACAGAACATGAACGATCGTCCAGACCCGTTGCAAAGACCCCGCATCGGAACCTGCACGGACTGTTCACTGCCTTCTTCGAGCCTATACTAGTCTTAACAGACGTTGCGATGTGAGGCCGTCAAGCAACTCATTTCCATGTATGAACCATCAATCTCATCAATGCCAGGGACATGCTGAGGAATTAACTGCTTCCGCGGCTTGCAACATTTCGACTGGGCCTAGCAATGCTTTTCAATGCGGCCGATAGCTTACTCTACAGAGTCCCAATTCAATATGGTGGCCTGGCCTTCTTCCCTCGCGGCTTCGAGCAGGTGCAAAGGGGACATCACTTTCAAAGGTTATCTTACGCCGCAGATATCCGCAGACTCCCAGGTGCGCGGAGCCATAATGGAAAGAGGGGCTGGGCGGACTGGTCGCTCTGCAACAGCAGTGATCGGTTCGCAGCGGAAGGGATAGCTTCTGGCAACCTATGACTCCAGCCAACATCGAATGGCATGCAGCAGTGCTAACATCTTGAGACTTGCGCTGAGGGTGCCCAAGAAAAAGTGACAAGTGTAGCATGAAGGTTTGCTTGATTGCAACAGAACGTTTTCCTGCGCGAAGAGGCGTACTCGGTCGTTGTACAGTTTGGCGACCAGCAGCAGCACTCCTTCAAGCTTTATTCTTATTACAAGAAGGCCAGGGGTGATGGTATCACGGAGGGCTTTGTGACTCCGTGACTGCTTTAAAGATTGCTCTTTGCAGGTGATTTCGGATTATTGCAAGAACGGCATGATAGAGCTCCAGAATTTGGCCGGCGAGGCGGGCTTCGTGTTCCGAGGGAGTTTGGGTTTCAGGCGGTGACTCGGGACTCGCGCGTTTGCAAACGTGTTCACTTCAAAGGGTCGGAATGTCTCACTGCTCCCACCAGTCATGCGCTTCGGCCCCACAGGCGAGTTCCGCGAGTCAACGTAACGTTGGATATTTGGCACAGCTTCCGCAACTCATTGTATCTAGCCCTCGCACAGGACCTGCTGCACGCGCTGGCGCAGCTGTGGGAGCGTCATGGGTGGGAGAGCGTGTCTGGGGAAGCTTCAGTGGCGGTTAGGAGAAGAACACGATTCTGGTCTTCTGGATGCAGCGCGTCTTCCAGCCAAGGGCTCATGCTCCGAAGGGCCGAAGGAACTTGAGGGGCGACGTGTCGAGGTATCTGGATCGCTTCTTCACGAAGAGCAGCACGGACGCTTCGACGCAGCGACGGTTTGGACTCTTGACTCGGGCCTCGGGGCATCTCGGGTGCTTCCATTTTGGCTGCCCGAGGAGTACCCTGATCTTTTCAAGGCTGCAGCGCAGGCCTTTGCAGATCCTGGGCAGCAGGTCACGTGCAGTCTTGCAGTGATGGCCAGAGATGCTGACTCGGTCACCTGCAGAATCTATAAGGAGCACGTCTTCTCCAAGCTCAAGGACGCAGTCCTGCTGGGCGAAGTCTAGATTTCTTCTTGTTCTTCTGTGCCCTTGGAGGCGAAGTGTGTGGAGGCTCTGGTGGCGCAGGTCAACCGGGAGCGTGATGGCGTGGAGATCGACCAGGCGGAGATTCCTAAGCCTGTCTACTGTAGGCCGTCCGGATCTTCCTGATCGTCATGGTTCCGGCATCGGCTCAAGCATTTTGACAGCTAGCGCACTACGCCCTTGCAAGCAACAGGTAAGGACGTGGACAAGCAGAACTGTTCGCGACAAAAGCGCACTTCCCCTTCTACCCTCTGTACTCTTGCACCCTTGACCTTATGCATGTGTAGCGATTTAATTCGGATTCGGAGTTTTTTTCCGTCCGCCTGGCGGCCGCTATCAGAGCCGCCATGGACGAGGTCCCAATCGCACAGCAGTTGCTCATTGGAGTGTCGATTATGTCGTGTAACACCGAAGGGTACCACCAGCACCAACATCAACACCAGCAACGTCAAGATCAACATCAATAACATTAACAAGAGCAGCTACAGTGAGCACAAGAGCAAGAGCAACAATATGAGCAGCAGCAACAACAACGACAGCGACAGCGACAGCAGCGGCAGGAGCAGCAACAGCAGCACCAACACCAAGGGATGGACAATGTTTTGCGGCGATTGTTCTGGCTTGTTACCCGTTCTTCTTTAGAGAGAGCGAGCGAAAGACGGACAGAGAGAGAGAGAGAGATCCCCAAGCCCGGAAGAGAGAGAGAGAGAGAGAGAGAGAGAGAACCTCTGCATCATAACCCTGGCGAAAGAAAGAAAGAAAGAGAGAGAGAGAGAGAGAGAGAGAGAGAGGGAGAGAGAGAGGCGTTGCGCTCGCGCGCGGGGGTCTTGGGGGCTTCCCCCTTACCCCACACGCCATGCAAGCAAGCAAGCAAGCAAGGAGAGAGAGAGAGAGAGAGAGAGAGAAAAGGGCGTAAACCCCGAGCAAAGCAAAGCAAAGACAAGGGCGCAGCAGACGCAACGGGACAGAGAAAGAAGAGAGGGAGAGAGACAGAGAGAAAGAGAGCGAGAGAGAGAGAGCGAGAGCGCGAGGAAGCAGGCATGTTGATACCGGGGCAGGCGAGTTCGTATGTAAGTTTCCCAGCTGATGTTCGTACGGGGCGTGCCATCATCTTGTTTCTAGTGCCGACCTGCCTGAGACGAAAGCCGTCAAACTACGGAGCCAAGGGCGTGAAGCCGTGCAGGGGCGCGACCCCTCAGCCTTGTGAAAGAAAGAGATAGAGAGAGAGTGTGTGTTTTTGTTTTTGAGGATGTAATGTGTCTGTTGTTTGATTTTTCGGTCCGCCGTTTGGTGGACTTCTCCTCCTCCTCCTACTACTACTACTACTGCTACTACTACTGCTGCTACTACTACTACTACCACTACTACTACCAGTACTACTACCACTATTACTACTACTACTACTACTGCTACTACTACTACTACTACTACGACTACTACTACTACTACTACTACTACTACTACTACGACTACTACTACTACTACTACTACTACTACTACTACTACTACTACTACTACTACTACTACTATTTTCAATTGAACGCTGCGCGAGCGTGCTCTGCGCTTGGCGGGCGCCTTTGGTCTCGTGCACTCGTGAAACTGCTGCTAGCATTCATCGCTCAAACCTCTCAATCTGCTCAGTCTACTCAGTTACTGAGTTGCAACTATGGCTTCCTCCTCCGACACCTTGTTGTGAACAGACGCGTCCGTCTGTGCACCTGTCCCAGCAAGTAGGCAGTACTTCAGACGAAGCCGACACCTGGAGTATCCGTCTCGTGGCGTCCCACACGGATTACTCATGCTGTTGACAGAAGGCCGTAAAGATCCAGAATAGTACGCCGTGGCGGTGTGCGTTTTCGAGAGTCTCACTTTACATGTTTTGTTTTGTTTCCTAGTCCTTCCGCATAGTTCTGCAACTAGATGTTTTTTCAACTTGTCACTGTTACTTTTTGATCTTATGCATCAACTCCAAACTACAGCCGAAATATATGGAGTCCTTAGGCTCACAGCCCCCTGTTTCGATTCCGAGAACGTATACGTAGAACTTATGCCTTTGGTAACACCTTAGAAGATAGCATAAGAGGGCGGGGGGGGGGCGCCAAAAAAAAAAAAAACACCCTATAGGCTTTTTTTTTTTGGCGCCCCCCCCCCCGCTCACTGCAGGTACAGACCTTAGCTAGTTCCTCCCCCCTCACGTTACCGTTACTAATGGATCAAGTAGTAGCTTCTACACAAAGCTTCTTTTCTTCTGCGCGACCTCGTTAGGAACATGGCACGCGGGAAATGTCCAACTTGCGGCAAATGGGGGAAAGACAGATGCACTTGCTTGTCTTCTTCACAGACTCTCAAAATGACTGGGAGTAAAACTACAGCGACGACAACGACGACACTGAAGCTTGCAAGGATGTCAGCTGTTGATTCTTCTGCAGTTGCCAAGTCTGGACAGAAGTTGAGCAAATTGAAGAACAGCTCCACGGTTGCGAGGCGCACTCAGAAGGCTGACAGAGTGCAGGCCACTACGTCTGTGCCTGCTTCTAAAGACCCACTGCGTCTAGAACTTGAGCTAGAACACTTGAAAGTAGCGCGACTGCGTCTTGAAGCTAGTCAGGTAGAAGCTAAGAGAGCTCGCAAAGCCCAAAAAGAAGCTAACAAAAGGAAGTCCTGGTACTCTGGTTGGTGGTCCTCCAAAGGAGGAACTTGGAACCGGAACTGTCGTAACAAGTCGTGGGGCGCGTGTGCTTCCCACGGTAGTTTCTCCTTTGCTTCACACACTAGTTCTTCACCTGACCGCAGCAAGTCCTGTGAGGCAGGTGCTTCTCACCAGAGTTTTTTGTCTGCTTCGCACGCTAGTTTTCCACCTGACGGGCTTCTCTGGGAAGAGGCTGAGCTTAGTTGGCTTGGCGACGGTTGCAACTAACCAGCAGAGACCGGTCTGACGCGAAAAGTTCTTGTGGAGTTGTCAACAGACAGAACTACCGAGAGAGTCTGTGCAGAGAGAACAAGTAGGAGAAGAATAAGATATCAATATGATAACAGGACATCAGGAAAACCAAGGCACAAAAAAAAAAGGGGCGCATGGACAAGCAGGGGGGAACGGGGACATGGAACGAGACAAGCAGTTAACAAGCAGGGGGACACGGGGACATGTAAGGAAACAAGCAGGGGACAAGCAGGGGGACACGGAGACACGTGGAGGGACAAGCATACGGGGACAAGCAGGGGGACACGGGGACATGTAAGGGGACAAGCAGGGGACAAGCAAGGGGACACGGGGACACGTGGAGGGACAAGCACAGGGGGACAAGCGGGGACCGATTCAAAACAACAAAGCAAACAATAGATGAGGAATGAACAAAGAACACTGGGTATACGCATTTCAAATACAAGGAAGAAAGCAACAATGCGTTTTGCCTTCACCGAAATACACCCGCAAGGTCGTGGTCCGTTTTTCAGGGAGCCAAATCCGTCTTATCCTCAGTTCATCCTGCATGTGCTGCATACCTTTGTCCTTGCTTCCATCTTCCTTCCGCCGCGCCTTATATTGTCTTGCCGCAGTCTATTCCTGCCAACGGCCTTCTTTATGTCTCGTCCAACTTTTCGTTTCCGTGCCATGCCTCGCCCTACCATTACTACCTCCCGCAGAGCGGCTCTTGATCAAAGTCGTCGACGAGAGCTCGTGCGACTGACAGGACGACATGACAGTGTTCTTACCCGACATCCACTGGCTCGTTGTCTTCTACCTGATCCGCATGATAATACCATTACAGCCTTTCATTGGGAGGTCACAATATTCAGAGCGACTCACATCTTGGAATGCTTGTGTTATCGCAACGTGACGAAGCTCAGAAGACGAATTTTGCAGGCATTCGACTCCATTATCCGCAGAGACGCTGAGTTAGCAGACCTGATTCCCGTCTTCATACCCGATTATTCCGTCTCGGAGTACACGAACCTGGTCCTTGAGAAGCTAGAGATATTTATGTCTCTGGCCAATGTGTATCGCACAGTCGATGCTTCTTCTTCAAGCGGCATAACTTTGTCCGCATACGACCGCCATGTCAAACGCAAGCGTGTCCATCATGGATTGATTGAGGAGAATAAGGAGTTGATTCAGTTCTTCCCTGACGTGCTCGACTTAGTTCCGGACCCAGCGAATCTTGATATGACCAAGAGGATCTGGGAGCGCCGCATGAGTGTTGCTCGCACATCCTTTCGTATTCTTTCGAAAGGTGATCGTAATGCAGGACACGAAGTTGTTTCCCAGCACTGTCATGAGCCAGCTGTTGCAGATCATATTCCTACTTCTTGCTGGCAAGACATTGCAAACAAGAATGTTTCGAATACTGTGTGGGCAGCAGCTTTCATTCGAGCGATGAAAATCACTCAAGTCGCATAACGTGTTTTTCTCATCATAAAGACACTGCGACATGCACAGCTCGAAGCACTTGGAAAAAGAATGCCGGTCATTTGCGCATGCAGTGGCCTTATATATAGAAAGTTCGCTGTGTGCTCTCCCGAGTGTGTTACTGTACCGCGCATCGTTGATCATTGCCATATGTAGCTGTTCAACTTCTCAAGTGTTCAACTGCCATCATCCTCCTCTTGTCCTCTCGTGTCTCCCATGGCGAGCCCGTTGGAGAACGAACTCGAGCGTTTGATGGAAGAGGAGTATCCGGACGTTGGTATGGCTAGCTCCGCCCCACCTGAACGTCCTCAGAAACGTCTTCGCGGTGCTGGTTTGTCTGGTCCTTAGTATTCGTTATACGTTTCACTGTTGCTTGCATTGCCGGCGTGGTAGTAGCTACTAAGGTTCCGTGCTCTGTCCGATATGGATGTGCAGCCTCCACCACCAGAGGTTCTGCAACCAGCCCCGCCTAATGATCGTGCCAGCATGCCTGAAACGCGAGCACAGTATCTATGGTGGGGTCAGCAATCATTCCCTGACTTCACTCATGAGTGTAGTCAGCTAATTGCCATGGCCAAGTACGTCTGTGATATGGATGCCGCCAACTATTGCATGTCGAATAAGCAGAAACTCCTCCTCGCTATGCTTATCGACGGTGACAATTGGCGTGCACACTGCCGCCAAGTTTTCTACTACCAGGATGGCGCGTGGGTTCGAGCAA